TAATTGAATTAATTGGTGTCTATTATTGTCGACTTAATCACCTATTCGCGAACCAGGAAGCAGATATTTTCACGCAATGCAGAGAATTTTTCCATCTCATTTATAGGAATTGTACATGAAATCACGAATATCAAATTAAACAGAATAATTTAAAGGAACCAAAAAACCATTGATTTCACATGAGAAGTATTGTAGAAAGCGAGCACAAAAATGCATAAACCATTTCTATTATTGTATTCTGTTATAATTGTAGTAGCTAAATGCCATGGCAAAAAATATCAATCCGAGCTAAGTGAGGAACCATTGACAGTTTAGAAAGAGTCAGCTGTTTTTTCTTTTGATTTGTCCCTGTTAATAACGATCAATAATGCAACAAGTATCATGTGACGTATTTCTAGAGGCTTTTATTTCGTTTGTGAAAAATATATACCCAAAGTTCTCTTAATAGAAAGGCTTTTTCATGAAATCAGCTATGTGCCATCCAGCTGTATGTGGAGAAATTACATGCACAACTTGTAAATACGTCCTTGCTTTTCTTATAAGAACCATATACTGTACGCTATTATATAGATATACATGTAGAATAACATAAGTACATAAATACAATGTCGCCAATATAAAAGAAGGCGCTGCATGGGTCCGCCAATGATTAAGGAAATGATCATGACTGGCCAAAAATTCCGCTTGAAATTTATATATTTGGTAACGCAGAAGCAGCGAGCTGCGACGTTGTCTGTAAACGTTCACTATGATGAAAAAGCCTACGTTGTCTTTTCTTTTCGTCTTAACTAGAGTAGCAGTCAAAGTTACCTTAGTACCGTAACAGTCTACTTGACAGAAGTAGCAGTCATGTAAATTAACACGGCGAAGAACGTTGTAATAAACGTTGCCTTACATCCATGAAGCTATAGAAGTAGTCGACGCCGTTATCGGACTTGCGGGCTCATTTCGGCTACCTAAGCACTGAGCATCATTCTCAGCACGCCTAGTTGAGGTTTCAGCGTTCCAACGACGACAACAAATACACTCCTTGAAAAGGTTCACCAACTCGTCCCGAAAGATATGACCAGACGCAACATAAAGAAAAAAGTTAGTATTGTGATTCAGCAAACTTATCAGGAACAATGTCGACCCTACGAACATGTACATGTTTTGGTAGGTGCGTTCTGTGGAAATGCCACCTCCAATATCAAGCTTATTTTCGGCTCGCATGAAGACGTTAAAGATAATAAAGGGCAAGGTGAGCAAGATAAACGCTGTCAGTGTCGTTAACAGTAGAATATTTACTTTGGTGTCCGTCGTCCCACTGCTATCACCGTGCTGCTGATGACCAGCCAGTTGTCGTCTTACGGAATGGCTCTTCCTTAGATTACACACAATGGCGACCGTCATCGTTATAATGGCTAATGTGATTACGAACCACGCAACGTAATAAATATAGGGCAAAAAGACGGCCCTATGCTCCATTGTATTGAAATGTGCAGAACAAAATGCTGTTTTTGAAGCAGAAACAAGAACTAGAGTAAAAACTGCAAGACCAGAACAGGTCAGCAGAGCTCTCCGTCTCGTGCACAGGGAAGAGGCTTGCAGTGGTTTGAAGATTATTATAAGTCTCTCTACGGTTAATGCAAATACGTAGAGCAGGGAGAGCAAATAAGACGCGTTGTGCACAACGGCTATAACAAGACTGGCTTCACAAGGCGGTTCAGCTCCTAGACTCCAGAAAACGCACTGAGAGGACAAGCAAGACAGCTTTAACTGATCCGCGCCGGCAAGGAACAGGATATAAACGAAGGTGGATTTCTGCCTAAGACTCGGACGTCGGAGAACCACCAGGAAAGTGAGGAAGTTACCAACCAGGCCGATGGCTGTCAGGACGTACACAGTGTTACACCAACATGTCTCATAGTATGACCAGCACCGTTGCTCGGAGGACAGCATGGTATCGTTCAAGTCGTCCAAATCGTACCTGCTCATATTTCCTTGGGAGGCGTTGCTGTTATTAAAAAGTCCAACATCTTTCCGAGAATCAACCTCCTGCATTGTACAGTATATCACTAGTCCTCAATCTAGGTGTTATGTATCTTAAATTGCCTGTAATTTAATTCTCTTTCCCTTGACAGTCATTTATAGTCTTAATAGCTGTTCCTAAAAACATGACGAATTAAACTGTGCACTCTATTTTATCATTCCTCAGTGTAGGTGTAATGCATCTTGTATTGAATGAAATAGATAGTTCTTATTGGTCGAGATCAGTGGGTCCAGAAATGCTGAAAATGTAAAGACACCTTCCGCCAATTAGCCTCATTTCACGTACTGCCTCATTTACTTACTTCATTCCATCATATCCACTCAGTGAGAGGCTGTGTTACTAATATGACGACACATGATGTTTTAACTTAAAAGTCTGACGTGATTGCTAAATATCCTCTACCAGGGCCACAGATTGATTTTTTCACTAGATATTAACAAATGTGTCTCTGACTAGTTCTTGGTAAATTTTTTCACTGTCGCGTTGGAGAAAAGTGCACATAATTAATCTACAGCCCTGGTAGAGGGAAATTTCTATACTGGATAGTGACGCCGCGAAGGAACAAACGCGCTTAATGATCACCTCTGTAGCTGCGACCACTTTTTGAAATACAAATTTTCAATATCATACAAATGCCTATCAAATTCTGGCTGCAATTGAATATCAATTCAGTTTTTTGTTTTACTTTTGAAAAGCTGAGTGATCGAAGGAACGTTGAGTAAAAGAAGTTCATGGTCCGATGAAAACGCTTTCGATATCGGGGCGACTGGGCCGTTTTTGTTTTGAGAACTATTACATTGCTTCTAAAATTGTATAGGAAATTTCTGGATTATTTTTCCATTGAAATGCACTTTCATGTATTAAATTAAAATATATTAGAGGCATTCATATTTCCACCAAGTTAATGGAATTATGATTTTTAAAAGTTACACATTACTAATTTAAACTTTAAACTTTCTCCATTGATCACCTTCTTCACTGAACAAAAAGCATAAAACGAATTTCATGAAGGTGCAAATGCGGCCCAAGTCCAATGCCCCAAGCACTTCAAAGTACAAATGCAACAATTTCTATGTCAAAATCCAATAAAGATATTTTTTTCAATGTTTGAGAGTTTAAGGCATGGAATACACTCGTTAAAATTTTTTATTACAAGGAATACATACAAAGTTAGAATGGTTTGTTTTTCACACAGAGAGAAGTCTTATTGCACAAAACTGACAGAAACAACTATTGCGACGTTGGTAAGGATTATTAAATTAAAAAAAAAAACTACTTGATTTCCGATGCACATAATTTACACAGAGCGACAAATAACGTAACGACTGTTCTACCTGAATTGATATGAACAAATACATGAAACCCCTCCGATTGTTCGGCTGATGGAATGCAGCACAATCTTTGTAACACCCAGAGCACAACTACCACAATCGGCAAAGGTCTGTGCACCGTTTAGTGCAGTAACTTGTTCTGGAACACGAATATATCAGCAACTTACGCGTGTGAAACAGAAAATGGGTGATATGGCTCGTTGATTATCTTTTTTTTTTTTTTGTCATTTCAGGAGATACTTTAAGAAGAAATAACACAGGATGTGGTGTATCCTTAGTTCTATTCCATTCTAAGAATCCAGTATTTTCATTTCAAGTGGCTTTGAAGACCAGTCCCGCGTCAATTAGTTTCAGACTCATGGAATGAAGACGGTCCATTTTTGTATATCAGTGCCCATGTGCCTCATCTTCGGGCAAAGTTCCTTTCAGACCAGGTAAAATTACTACCCACTTCTAAATAATTGTTTATTTGCAAACCAAATCCTTTGTGGAATTCAAATTTAGTCAACTGCATAAAAAATCACAAAGATATATATTCATTTTATAAATAATTTATTTATAGCTCTATTCCAGCATTCATGAACAATGTACTTGACAGATGTTTCAGACAACCCTATTGGACCAAATGACTTGAATGATAAAACAGGCGATGTCATTGGCCAAAAGAAGTCAATGGAATAGTACACGTTTACGAGGTGTTTTAGCTAATGAAAATGTCAGATATGTGGAACAAATGTCACCATCTCCTGTCAGATGTAACAATATTTTTTCATTTTCAAATTAAAGAGCAAACTGATAAGACAGCAGAAGGTTTCCGGGTTGACTTTCATCACATCTAAGTTCACACTCTCACCACTATAACAACTTGCTCAATTCAACATTCTACAGAAATACTGACTGTAAAAAATATCTATCAGACAATAAAGAAACTTCTATTAAAACCGTTATAAATCTGTCTGGTTTGGTGGCCTAAATTTGTCTACTAGATGCCCCTGTGTGGGTGTGTCCTGCACCACTGTGTGCAATGAAAAATAAATTTTGGTTCTTCATCCAAGATTTAGTCAACTTGTCAAACATTTTAAATCATGAAAACGGGTAACAAAATTTCATCGCTACTAATTAAAACTTCCCAACTTTGAAAAAAAAAAAAAAAAACAAAAATAAATAAATAAACAAATAAATAATAATAAATATAACAATAATTTAAAGCAATAGTAACAGTAAGGTAAATGGTTAAAGTTCTGGTCATGGAAACAAAACAACAATAAATATGCAGATGCCTGAAATCCCTCCAATTGTAAAAAGAAACAAATGTCTGATTGTAAAACCGTGTGTTTCTATTGATATCTAGTTAAAATTCACCTTGGGGTACCCTCATAATTAATATTAGATACACAAAAATAACTTAAACAACTAACAATCAACATAGTAATGTCTTTAACAGTTCTTCTAAGGGATGCAGGCATACTGCGAACTGCTCTCCCTTTGGTAATATATAGACCACCACTTTAAGACCATAATAAATTTAGGCAATTTACTGCCACTGAATTGACAATAACCTTCCATGCTACATAGAAAATTTGTTGGAATATCTTACCAGTAAAATATTTATCCCACCTTCCCTCTTATTGTTTAAATCACCTTACATTGGTAAACTAATAAATCAGTCTAATATGCTGCTTCATCAAGTAGTTGACAGTAAGATGTCGTGAAGGTCAAATAAACCAGATATTGCTACTTTGTTCCACTGCTTTATAACACGTAAATAATGTCTTATCTATTCTGGCTGAACTCAAGTAACCAGGAAGTACACCTGTAAGGAGTTCGTTAGTTGGAGAAACAACCAGGACAGACAAAGCTATAGAGATCTTTTTCTGAGTTTTTCTTTGACCATGTGGTCATTTTTTTTTTCGTAATTTAAAAGAATGTTAGTCAGTCAAATAAAGGAGTCTATGTCTCCACTTGCTGCCTGTGTCACTTCAAAGGTGGAAGAGTGACAGTTGGGCCATCCCTGACTGTAGGTGGCGCTGGCCATCTTCTCAACACTAGATGGCATTATTCATCAAGAGGCTCTGGTCCATAACTGGGGCCCGCCCTTAAAGCAAACTTATCCTGCAACAGAAATCAGTTGTTCATTTCTATGAGCACCTGGCAATTCGAGTCCTCTGCCTCGCACCTCAGACATTTTATCTACTGTCTCCTCCCCTTCTCTTTTTAAAATTATTTTTCCTTTTTTTTTTTTTAGTTTTTTTGTGCCTACAAGGCTGGTGCAAAGTCATCGTCCACATCATCCTCATCGCTTTCGACATAAACATCAGGAACTTCCTGGTCCAAGTTTTTACGTTCCGTCCTCTGCAAAACTGTAAACGTGCTTCCCGTTCTGAACCACGGGTGTCTTAGCACCTCGTCGGCCGTCAGTCGCTCCGAGGGGTCCTGCCTCAGCAGCGACCTTATCAGGCAGCGTGCCTTGGAGGATACCGTTTCAGGTACGTTATACTGTCCTCGTAAAATTTTGCGAAACAGAGCGCTGGGCTCCGTGTCGTGGAATGGATAGCGTCCAAACAGCATGGTATACAAGATAACGCCTAGCGACCACATATCGGCGGCTTTCCCTGAGTATGGCGTGTTGGCACACAGTATTTCTGGACTGACGTAGGCCGGGCAACCATGTTTATCTCGCATGGAGTCATCATTTTCATCCTCCAGGACAAAAGAGTCTTCCAGGCCCTCCAGCTTCAATTTTTTCCTGAAAAAATGACAAATGAAGTTATTATATTGGGTTCCATCAAAACAAGGAAACAGCTGAAAACTACTCCAATCCAATGCCAATATGCATTGCCTTTAAAATTACAAGTAAAATTGACAGCTCTGTTAAAACCTGGAATATCATGACAATTGTGATGGTAATGTGTTGCTTGATTTATTGATCTCTGTTGGTGAGAAGTTTTGTTCAAAATGCAAGCTGAAGTTTATGTATAATTGTGCTTGTTCACTTTTCCTTGTGGGTTCGACCCCCATCCCTCAGAAAATCTCGACTTCAAAGCGTGCAGCATGACAACTCACTCCCAGCCAACACACACCATGATTCAAACCTTCCTAGAAACTTCCAGGAATCTCACTCACAGAATCCAGACGGCAAAACATGCCAGCATAAACAGCTTTGATCCATTAAAGAGAGGTGCGGTCTGACCCACCAATTGAGTAAACTCTAAATAAAGAACTTCCACGGTTATTTTTATCCAGATTGAAAACTCAGTGAGACGTGACCCCTGTTCACACCTTCTGGCAGACTTTGGCTCCAATGGATCAAGCTCTTCTTACAAATAGACTTTAACATGTTTTATCTAAATATAGGCATTTAGGATGGTTTTACGGGCATTTAGGTACAATTTACAACAAAATTCAAGAGAAGACAGGAAGAGGGCCGTCTACATTGCAGCAGAGGTCAAAATACATCATGGTCTTCAGTTTATATGACAATAACAAGTTTCACCTCCTTCAGAAGAGAGCAGCCAGATTTTATTCCATTCTCTACCTTTATAGCAGAGGAATTTCTTACTGTCTACAGGATTTCATTTTTAGCACCTTCAGTAGTTAATGTACACATTAAACAAATTATACGATCACACACCACACACACACACAGGGGTTCAGTGAAATAACCGCATTTTACAAACTTGAATAGAGTCTCTAATATTTCTGACATACAAGAGAGAGAGAGAGAGAGAGACAGAAATAGAGAGAGAGAGAGAGAGACAGAAATAGAGAGAGAGATCTTTTCAAGACACACCCAATGAATCATGTTAAAACTAACATGACTGAAGGAGGATGTCCAGCAGCCATATCTGACAGCAGTCATCATCTGACCTATATTTTCACCGCACTCTCAGCAGCCTCATTTTGACTACTCTACACCTAGCCTGACTACTCTACACCTAGCCTGACTACTCTACACCTAGCCCGACTACTCTACACCTAGCCTGACTACTCTACACCTAGCCTGACTACGCACTCATGAATATTTTAGATCCTTACGCAACCAGCTGAAATTTCCCCAATCATCACTGTGACCCAATTCCTGACCCTAGGTTTGACCCCAGAACCAGCTGATAACTGTGTTAACAGCACATACCAGCCCAACCCTCACTACTACTGTAGAACTCCTTCAGTACCCAGACATCATGTACCCCTTAACAGTTTATTTTCCTTCCAACATTCAAAATTAAACACCTGTTCCATCTACTAGAAATTAACACCACGAGATAAAAATAGAATTCTGAGAAAAATCTCTTTCTTAATCGCCTGCCAGTGTGTCGCAGGGCCCACTTCTTCCTGTAAAACACATGAAATCCATACATCTCGTATCTGATTAAGTGCACTCCCAGCATTAAAATGGAATAATGATATCATGTCACATAGGTGTTACCTGGTTGAATCTCCTGTTCTAGAACATAGGTAAAACAGGTGAAAGCTATTAAGCCCTAAGAATGAAGTAATTTTTCTTCAGTCGACAGCTCAATACAATACTGAAATAATTTAACCTTCAATATTTTGATGACTAACAGAACATCTTCATCGAGGAATGAGGCTATCCAGGTGAATAGCCTCGTCTTTAGACAGTTCCAGAACACAGGTAAAACAGGTGTAAACTATTTGGCCCAGTCTATAGACGGTAACACTTTCACTGAAAGTTTCATGGACCATTAGCTGGTTTAACGCCATTCCCTGTCAAATGAGCTGTAGGGAGCCATTTCAATCCCGAGACTTTGCAGTACTAGCTTCAGTTACACAGGTTTCACAGCTAGAAGATTCATCATATTCACCCTTTAGTGCTCTTTATAAGTTTTTTTAATTCAATAAATTGAGTCAAGTATGCATTCTTAAACTATGTATAATAACACATAAGTCAAAAGCATATTTGTACCAGAAATGAACATAACACACCATCCTATTCAGCTGTATTCTCCCACTCGTTCTTTAAACATTTATTGACAATAGCACTTATATTTGTACTTTTGCATCTCTGCAAAGCCTCTCCTATTTTTGCCTGCTTGCTTGTAACAGTCTGTTTCACAGCACATAAAATCAGCACATCAAACTAAGCATCGCATATTTATGCACACACACACACACACACACACACACACACAAAGCTCAAACGCACCCCTCCCCCCCCCAACACACATACATACATACAAGCACAACTAGTCCCATTCATAGAAATACATAAAAAATTTCACTATGAAATCTCCAGGGAGTTCGCTAGTCTCCAACATAAGCTGCATTATCATGCAATTTCCGCCGGCCTGACGTCAGTCCATTGATCCTCCACCAGCCAAGGCCAGATATCGCATGCTGCTGCTTTTGAACTGCGAAGATTCAGGGAATATTGTTGTAAACAGGAAACGGGAGCACAAGCCGCTGAGAGAGAGAGAACAGTAACCACCAATAACAACAACAAAGACGTCAAAATAGGACACTAATGAGAAACAATGAGCTGAAAGAGTGGCTGACAATCAATTTAACTGCAACGCATCACTATAACTTTGCTGATCCAATATATTATACCTCAATTTATAAGCAACTTCATTACTGAAGCCCTGCAAGGATCTGCTGACGTCAGCCAGCAATGGAGAGCAGGACTACCGCAGGTTTCCTTTGTCTGCTCACAGCCGCAGCTGACCACAGCACTGACCACAGCTGACCACAAGAAACAGCACAGATTTCATCAAGAACGCTTTGCCAATACACTGTGATTAAATATCCAGAACCCACTTCCAACTTTTACAATGTGAAGTGTATCAAAATATGCACAATACACATTAAAGACAACTGGTTCCATAAAATAATTGAGGTCTCTGTGACAATGTTTTACACAAAATTCATGAAAAACATGGCTGTCAATGGTCTTTCAAATATTGAGAGAGAGAGAGAGAGAGAGAGAGAAATGAACGCACTCTAATAAGAGCTCATTTTTCACAGCTCCCTCTTCTCATAAGCATCAGTTGAGTAAATCCCTCATTTCCTGTCATAGTAAGGCTTCCAGTAATAAGACTGATATTTATAGCTTTCATCTCATTTCTACCGCAGCGTGGTTGCGGAAATTGGGAATAACATCACTTCATTCAATTGGACATTGGCATTGGGTGATGTGTAGGAAATATAATTAAAGCAAACACTACCAGTGTTACATACACTTTCATCCTTCACTGTTTTCATGCTCAGTTTCTGTGCCGTTTTACTGATACGTACATTGAGTTAATCTCTTTACTTTTAGAATCATGAATCCCTTATCAAACTTGGCATTTCGACATCCTGAATACCAAATATTTGCACTCTCCGATATTATGTCACCATTTTTTGGCACCATTGCACAACTCTTGCAACAGGCAAACAGACAACGGTGAAATAACAGGGCACATATTTTGCAATAAGCAAGGTCCGATATGGTTTCCTTGTCACCAATGGCCCCTAGGACAGGGGACGGACTATTTCACAACACCAGTGTCATGTCACATACATACACACGAGGCCATGCAGATTACGTACATTTCGCAATCGACATCTAGAGAATGGTCAATATTGGCCTGGTGTTCAGGGTCAGTGATAACAGCCATGCTGGGTACACATGCTGGCTATTTCTAGACTATTCCTATGGCAGGCAGAAATCGGGTTTTCTGACTGCATCATCAGTAACCTTTTTCCAGTCCAATATTCAACTCAAATTCAATAAAATATCTATAATGGAAAAAAAAAAATGCACCAATGCATTTTTAACATCATTATTCACAGTGCACTCTATTGTGGTTAAATTCAGTGAATTACGTAGCATGCTGGATATTTAAATAAAGCCATTGTTTAGCCAAGATATGCCGGTTATTACAATAATGGACCCAGGTAGGAAGTCACGACTGTCATCCACCCACCCACCAGTTGTGACAGTTCAGACATGGTGACACTGACATCAGAGGAGACTGGTGAACTAGTTATGACACTTAGGCCCCATTCAGAACAGTGGACTAACTAGTCCCCGTGTCAAATATAGCCACACACTAAAAAGCTTGTCGTCTAATCCACTAATAGACATTGAATAGATTCCCTGTGGGTCTGCCATATTTGACCCGCTGACTAGTTAGTCCACTTTTCTGAATGCCGCCTTACACAAGGGGGCACTGAAATCAAGGGCGACTGGTGAACCTGAACACTTTAACTAGCCCTACGGTCTTAAGTTCCATTTCCATTCAGTTCTCATCTTCCTGTTTAAACATTCTTTGAAATCACTGCATTCAAGTGAACTTAATTTGTGGTTGATTTATTTTTTTGTCCAGGCGACCTCAGATGTCCCTGGATTTTGGAACTTAGTCAGCTAAACTGACCTTAGCTGATCCCATTTTACAGTAAACTAGAAATACTGTAACAGAGGAGAATTCAACTAAAACGAAAAATAGCCATTCCTCCTCCCCTGACTTTTGACAATTATGGGTACCTTGCAACTAAACACTTTTTAGAAGTCAAGAGAGGTCACTTCATGTGAAATAGCTTATTCCCCTTCACATTTGATAAAATTGACTGGGCGTTTTTTTTTTTTTTTTTATGTTCAAAATGAGATATATATCAAGCTTTTTCTCCAACTCTGTAATAAGGAAACAACCATGAAATACTTGAGCTCAATCTCAGTCAGTGATCTGGTGCAGGAAATCAAATACCTCAGGAGTGCAAGGAATTCCAAGTTTGCCGTAATAAACT